TACCTTCAATTGATTCGTTATGTTCCAAATATTTACAAAACCATTGGAAGAGGCTGTAGCCGCGAGGCCTGTGACATTAGTAGTACCTATGACGTCCACCGTATCGCCTGCCTCACGAGCGGGAGCCGTTGCAAGAGTCACGGATAATGGAACATTCTGTGTGTATTCACCCTTAACAAATGGACATGCGGGCGAATGCCTCTCATGCTCCGACCATGGCTCATCAGTAGGCTCCCAACATACTAAGCACACGTTACAAGTAAAACACATCGCTCTGTCATCTCCTGTAGCATTTGGCTCATGATAGAAACCAGCCTGGGCCATTTGATCAGGTAAAGCCCATCTAAAATATTTATTCTATTAATTTTGTGTGTAATAAATCATTAATTGCATTCATTTTAACAGGAATATAGAATATAAAAAAGTTGTAAAATAAAAGCGATTATGTCACATAATAATAAAATACATATTACTTGTAATTCATATGTGGCCATTTTGGAAAAGTATTACGACGTGCTGCTTCACTAAACATTAATGCTCTATCAGTGGGACCACCTTCTAACGCAAGACTAGGCAATAGGCCATTTAGTCGTTCATTGATCGCAGAGGCAATGGGCAGTGCTGCTATATGCCGATTTTGCCTTTTTAATTCCATTACTAAGCCAGAGCAAACGAGTTTTAAAGATCCATGCGGTAATTCCAAACATATCGTATTCCACTGCAATTAAAATTTCCATTTTTAATTTTAATAATTTTAGCATTGATATTGATATTAATTCTGTATGCATAACATAAAGATATTAAAAATCTTGTATGTATTTATATAATGTTTTGTTTTCTATTTAACACAATATAATAAATTATATTTTTAACTATTCCGATAATCATATTAAATTAAATTTAAATTGTTCAATATTAAAAATCTCTATTAATCAGTTCTGATTGATTATTTCCTGATGATTATTTCCTTAAATAAAACTTACTCAAAATTAATTGAGTAAAAATAACAATTCTCTATATTATAAAGATCAAGTTATTAAAAAATATATTTTTAAATAATTCATTTACTTTTACATCCTCACTTTTATATTCATCTATAATATATCCCTCTAAAATAACTACAACAAAGAATGTTATATAAAATAATTAGCTGTACTTACTTTTTGAGCTTTAATACCCTTTTTCTGATTTGCTTGTGCTGTAACAATTTTACTTGACAGTTCTTGCAGCACCTCCAGCAAATGTTCCACACCTGGCAATTCTATGCATTGTAGGCATTGAAGCAATATCGTCGCCTCCGACAATAATAATTCCAGCTTTATGACATCCTCACTTTTAGAAACTGGGGTTTGCAAAATTGTATCTAATAGCAGGACCCCATTGTAATCGCTACGTATGCCAATCCCTCGTCCATCTGTATACAGCACTTTGTCTATTCCATCCGATAAATAAATTCCTTGCAATTTCCCATTAGGTTTACCTACAATCATCATTATAAGCATGAACATTTTATAATTCTTCACACATTTCACATAATATTTTTCACTTTTATTTTTAATAATACATATTTTAACAATATACGAATTAATATATATCTAATATATATGTATATCTAAAATTTGTAAAAAACATTAATACAAAAATATAAATTGATTATTTTTATTTTAATAATTGTGAAAAACTAATATTAAATATTTAAATATTTTCTGGTTTCCATCACATAATCTTATAAAATTATTCGAATATCCACATAATATACATTTTAAGTAAATTTTACTAAATAATATATATTTCATATAATATTAATAGATATTAATATTAATTAGTATTCCCTCAACATGATCTTGGAAAATTATGCAAAGATTTTATAAAAATCTTGATTTTGAAAAACATATAAACATTCTTTGTTCTTATTTCTTGAACTTATACAAAAGAATACTTCTTTGCTGCAATTACATCATATATAAATAATAAAGATACCGTTATACATACAAAAAAACTTTATCTTTGATGATTGGATCAGAAGTGCCAAAGCAATTTGTGAAAATAAGAAATAAATAGAATTACTTCTTAGAAGATAACAACAAATATATATATAATTGGAAATACATAATTGGAAAAAAAACCTAATTGGAATACTGCACAATGCTGACAGTCATAGATCCATTTCTTTAAGCCGTATTACTTTCCACATTAAAAATGCAAATTTATTTTCGCAGAACAAAGAAACAGAGACAAAATCTAGGAAAGTGTGAAAAGCATGGCCAGAATGTAACAAACTGTAAGATTATCTTCTTGACTCTCCGAATTCCTGGGAAAAAAACAAAGCTTGTCGCTTTCAGACACTTCGTGACGGAAAATTTCAACGACGAGGAAATAGTGTCGTCTTATTCTGGGAAAACGTAAGCGACCTTGACATGCGTTATTGCACAGTATTCTGCAAATATCGGGCGGACAGCCGTGACGGCGACGGGGATGACGCTGTCAGAAGGGGGAGAGGGAGGAAATCTATCGTTTGCTCGGCGCCGACCCGGCGAAATGTTCCGCGGGGATCGATCACGACGAGGAAGCTGCACACGCTCACCAGACAGAGAACTCCTCTGTAAGATCACGCCGGAGTTGACATCGAACACGTATACTTGTGCGCTGCCAGTAGTGATGAGTAGAACGTTTAGATTGGCGTGATAGATAATACTCTTGCACTCGGTGTCCACGTTCAAGCAACCATCCTCCTTCAATAGCCATGGGTCATCATCAGCCATTTTGCTCATGCGGATCACGCTTTTCTGAAAAACTTTTCTCTAACGCTCAGACATCACGAGAAACATGGCGCACTCGTCAACGCCATCTTTGAATGGAACGTCAGCAGACTGCACTGAATATAGCCGACTATCGTCCCTCCCATAATCAATCGATCCTTATGAGATTTCGAGCTTCGATTCTCAGAATGTTCACACCGAATACTTTAAGGCAACTTTAAAATGCCTTTACATGGAAGCATCATAGCAGAGAGAAGCCTGAGGATCGATTCTGTATCTTGAAATGAGGGAATCGATTCTGTATCTTGAAACGAGATGAAAATTACAAAAATGAGCGAATTTACTAAAATACTGATAATTTTATTGGTTAATGCCTAGTAAATTTGCTCGCTTTTATAATTTTCACCTTATTTGAGGATACAGAATCGACTCCCAGGTTTGCATCAACTTGGGTTAGAAAATGCTTCGCTATTGGTTGATGTTACACACTCTACCAATAGGAGAGCACGAAACATCATTATTCTAACTAAGTTAGAATGCAAATTCGGTCGAGCTGAAAACGCTATAAGAGCAGCCATGACCGGGATTTAGCTGTTATTTTATTCTGTAGCGCCTCTATGTCTATCAAATGTGGATATTGAACTATACGTAACCAATGATTCGGTAATGTCCACGATTTTTTGATTATATTCTTCACTATATTCACGAATTTCAGTCCTTTATATCTTGTTGGTGATATGTATTATACAGAAATAGTTTGTTATATAAAATATTTTAAAAATTCAATTTAAAAAAAAATAAAAATTTATGTATGATAAATAAAAATATGAATTAATATGCTGTTTCTATATTCTAAATTGTTTTGTTTAAAAACTTAAAATTATCTAAATAAAACAACTTATAATTTCATCTTTTATCTAAATTTAAAATAAAATCATTTTTAGCTTATTTAGGATATTGTTATTTCATGTGTAATTTATCTCGCTTTTATCTAATTATACAAAGAGGACAGATCTTCGCATAAAGCATAATAGCATTTTCTCTTGGCTACACTATCGTTCATCAGTGCAACACTCAGTATACTGTGTTTCCCTGGCTGGTGGTAAGCGAACTCATTCGGTGTATCGTGTTTCCATGGTTACGATATAGTGCAAATTTTATTACGAAGTGAGCTTTTGCTACATCGCTCAAAGAGATGGTGTAGAGTCAGTGTAACATTTAAAATTTGAAAATTTGAAAATGAAAGTCAAGAAACAGGATTAGCAATAATGGCTTAGTTTCCACCAAAGTTTAATCCGGATCAGAATGTAAGAACCAACCAACTACAGTATTCCCCTATTATAGTCGAACAACAGGGGAATACTGGACTGTAATTGGTTGAAAACTAGGCCAATGATATAGTGTATACTATGATGTACATCACTCTAGTGTAGTGTAGCTAAGTGTAGTGCTTACACGCAACTGGTACGGTGCGAGGCTGTACCTAGTATCCCAAAAGAAAATGCTAAGAAAATTAATCTTCGTTATTTTGTGTAGAAAGAAAACGAAGAACTTTTGATTGATTCATTTTTACATTATATGCATTATGTTTCATGACAGTCAAAATTTTGGAAAATAGAATCTCGGAAAAGTAATACACCCAATCAGATTAGCGCGTTTCACGAACGCATTAAACTTAAATGATTTTAATTGGTCGTATTACTTTTTCAAAATTCAAGACGAGTGCTTTCGTCCTTATGCGTTATGCAAGAATTTATGCTTCTGTCCTTAGCGTCAGAATAGAAATACGTAAAATGAATGTCAAAATTGATAAATCCCAAGCGTTCATTTTGATCACATAACCTGTTTAACGCTGTAAAGGCCACTTTCAAAGCTCCTTAACTTAACAGACCTAGTAACTTTGCAGAATTCCAACTGAAGCTGATCAGAGAAAAAATGCTAAGAGAGCAGTTAGAAATAGATTTGTAATACTAACTTATGTAACAAAGTTTCTCTCTGATAGCTGTTTGTTAATAACCTATTGTGTTCAATATAGTACGTAAAATTACAGTTAATTACAATTAGTGAAATAAATTCAACTTTTGAGTTTACATTTTTTTCTCCATCAGCTTCAGTTGGAATCTTGCAAAGTTACTAGGCTCGTTAAGTTAATCGGAGCTGGCCCTAAATAAGCATTGAGCAACACATAAAAAGATACCTTAAGCTCTTAAAGCTACAAAACGCAGCCATAATCGCGTTTCATTTCCGCGAAAGGCCCGTTCTTCTGAGTTCCTTATGTTCCGCGGCAGTGTATCAGCTGTTCGATGACAGTTTGCCAACCGTAGGAGGTAGTAGAAATCGCAGCAGCGCTGCGAAAATAGTGAGAGCGAGGTTTGTTATTGTGGGATGTGACAGCAATATGGCTATCTGGTGATTAACAATCGAACGGACGGACAAAGGAGCAGCGCAGTTCTTATGATAATCGACGATCCTGCTCTTCTCCTCGACGCATCATTGTTCCGTTGTTTCGTGCGTGGCTAGACGAACGGGACGGGACAGGATGCTGGAGCTCGAGGTGGTGCCTGAAAGGTCCCTCGGATGCGAGCAATGGGAATTTATTTTGGGCAAGTGACGAAACGCAAGCGCAAACGCTCGCGACCGACGGGCGTGCGTTGTTATGATTTGCGACATGCAAACTAAGCCTCTTCTCTCTCGTCAAGTTTCATTCGATCGAATCGAGTTTATATGAGACGAGAACAAGCGATTTCAGTCCGTTGACTTTATCTCGCGTAATACATGATTCGTCCCTTGTTTCTTTATATGCGTTGTTCCATTATCTAACTGTGAAACTTCGACAAGCGAGAACGAATATGAGCGGTTTTTTTTTCTCTATTATAATGGCAGCGGATAATGATTTTTTAAATAAATAAATACACAAATCACAAAAATAAAACAAAATAACAAATAATAAAATAAATAATTAAATCAAAATCTTAAATCAAAGTCAGGCAATTTATTCTACATATCAATTTATCAATCTTTAGTCTTATTTCTTTGTTTCTTAGGCATCTCTTTTGAGAAAATATAATTTTCATTTTTTCCGAGAAAATATAGTTTTCATTTTTTCAATTTTATTTGGCTTGCATTATTGATCATTTTCTCATTTGCAAATGTTCTATTTGTGAAAAACCAATCTTGTGTAAATTAAATTACTCATATATAATAAAATTTATTATATATTTAAACTAATTTATCATTTTTTATTCTTACTTTTATTCATTTCTTAATTAACTGTTTTAAGAATAAATATAGTTTTTATTTTTCTATATCTCTCTAGCCTCATTGACCATTTTCTTGTTTATAATTTATTCTATTTGTGAAAATCAATCTTATAAGTTAGATTATTTTAATGATTTCAACATATATTTATTATTCTAATAATTTATTCAATGAACTATGTATAAAAGAATAATAATTTCTTACGCTGGCTTTTTGTTGATTCATTTAAAGGCACTTTTTATGTTTTTTTATTTATTCAACGTTCACATTAATCATTCTTTATCATTCTTTATTTTTACTTTTATTCTCAATCATCTGTTTTGAAAATAAATATAGTTTTGATTTCTCAAACCTTATTTGGCCTTGTATTATCAAGTATTTTTTTTATTTGCAATTTATGAAAATCAATTGTATGCAAATTAATTTTTCAATTAAAAATCTCTATGCAATTAAAAAATGTTTTGTCTATTTTTTGAAAGTAGCTTTTCATTTTTTAATTTCAAAATTCTTTTGTCCAAGATTAATTTTCTGTAGCTGTAATAAAATTTTTTATCTAGTTTTTGTCGAATTTTAAATATATAAACAGCAATAAGTAATCATTAGACTGATATACATATAACATAGCTAAATATAATAATATAATTTATATAATTTAATTTTAAATATTATAATATATTAATATAATTTAAACATATATATTTAATTATATATAAAATGTATATATTTAAATATATAAAATTCTGTTGCATTTTAAATATGAAAATATTAGTTTAGCTACAAAGAACAGATTTATAATTTTGTATACATTTTTTTATTTCTATTTTATATTGTAATTTATTTTCTGTATAAATTTTTGATATACCAAAGAAAAACGCGCAAGCATTAATTTATTTTAAGATCCAATCCAAATATTAAACTTGCTATATTGCAGGTATGCACTTTTCTCAGTCAGTATCGATAATACAGTCTCAAGTCGGTGTTATAAGAGGAGTGCAAGTACTTTATAGCGATACTGTAAGTATACTTTAACATCTATGTTGAATGAATCTTATTACATATACACATAATGCACTAAAACTTTTTGAATGCATAAACAAGTAATATTTCTATTGTCATATGTCAAATTTAAATAACATAATCAGATGTTACATAAAGCATTATGCACGTTCGCAGAATCCGTTAGACGTAGATCTAGTAATAAATTTACCTCACGACGGCATTCGGCTTATATTCGATCCTGTTGTACAAAGGCTTAAAATAATTGAGATTTATAACATGAAGTTAGTAAAATTGAAATATTGCGGTTTGCCATTCAATTCGCCGGAAGTGTTACCTTCAATCGAGCAGATAGAGCATTCATTTGGTGCGACTCACCCAGGTGTTTATGACAGTGAAAAGCAGGTATGCCGATTCTTCATAAAATTTAATCATATATACAAAACTAACTATTATTCAAAATAATTAAAATTTATAAAGTATATGCGTGATATGTAATATCTATAATGATAAATTTCAGGTGTTTGTATTGAATTTTCGAGGACTATCATTTTACTTTCCGATCGATTCAAAATTCCATCCTGGTTACGCCCACGGATTAGGTTCATTACAGTTTCCTAATGGAACTTCTCCTTTGGTTGCAAAAACGGCAATTTATGTTGGAAATATTCTAGCCGGTGGTAGCGGCGAAGAACATGGTTCCAAGACATCGCCGCCACCTTTACCACTTGTAATTATATTTGTGACTATTTTATTTTTATATTTGGCTATTTTTTTGCCATTACTTAAAAATAAATTAAAATGTTGAACATTTAATGTATTTTTAACATCCATCCTTACATAGGTTTGTTACCATAATAACTTGTATTTGGAGAAAGCTGATATTATTCGAGACAAAGCACGTACTCGAGGACTCAAATTACATCTTTTCACGGAAGGTAGTTCTGGAACAAGAGCATTGCTGGAGCCAAAGAAACGATGTCTGACCAAAGAGGTTGCGCTTTATCAATATACTTTTTGCTAAGAAATAACATCATAACATTTAAGTAGAAATTATAAAGTGGAGTTCTCAAATATGCGATTCACAACAATTAAATATTTCTGTTTAATAAATTTACTCCACATCGAATGTGAATTTCAATATGTGAAAAAAAATCAAACTTGTTTTAAGTGGAGAGAACCTCGTATAATCGATTTCAAAGTAGTAAAAAAATATATTTTCAAAGTAGTAAAAATTATCTTGATTTATCTATGAGATAATTTCATATAAAAAAATAAATTATTATATATTTTTGCTTCAAATGAGTACAAAAGACACTTGTAACTCCCGCCAAATCGCAACTTCGATGAGGAGGCCATGTCAACATTTATTTATGAACTCTATAAAATTATTTTTTAATAAAATTTCTTTCCATATTTGAAAATGTATAATAATATAAAAAATCTTTAAAAAGATCTATTGCATTGTTCTTTTAAAGAAAAAAAAACCCGTAAAATTATCTCTTTTTTGATACACGAAGCTCTCCCCATAACATATAAAGCAATAAACATGTTTTTTTGCACACATATTTTTTGTTTCTGATATTATAATTTAACGATTTCAGGTATTGTTCGGTGATACATGTGAGGATGTTTTGAGTGCGCTTGGTGCTCCATCTAGAGTATTCTATAAAGCTGAGGATAAGATGCGTATCCACAGTCCACACGCGCACAAACGAGATAAAACAAGGCGGTCAGACTTTTTCTATAATTATTTTACTTTAGGTTTGGTAAGTACATTTTTTCATCTGGTGATATGACGAGCTTACTTTTACAATTGAATCGAAAAAGTACAAATTATTAATGGCAAATTACTAACACTAAAGATATTACTTATTATTGATATATCTAAAAGAGATAATCAATATAAATACTTTGCCTTTTTCTCGTCAAACTATTTATAGAAAAAAATTCTAGATATTTATTGGACATATAAGTTTTCCTCGGATTTTCCATACAAACTTTTTCTATAAATTAAAATAAGAAAAAAATGTTATATAAATTTAGGTCCTAAAATATTCTATTAAAAAACTTTAACAAAAATACAAAATGTGTAAAAAGTAATTTTATTTAAGTTTGCATATCAAAGTATCGTTCACCCATATCAAGTTTGACATCGATATAATTTTGAACTTATCCCTTTTTTGAAAGGAGAGAAAACCTTTGATAAATTCAAAATTACATTAATATCAACATCAGATTACATATCAAGGTAGGAACACTAAAATTCTTGAGTATGTATTATGAAAAACAGAATTTGAAAAAGTTAAGCCATTTTTGAGAAATCTTGCAGACGGGCAGTTAGACAGACAGACGGACAGCCGGACCAATATTGAAATCATAATTTGCTACGCTGCATTACTCAATAAGTAGATCCAAATAATTAGAAGACAAATCAGTACAATGCTTCTACATGAAATTATAGGTCATGTCATTCTTGAATACATTCTTTCTTTGTCTATTGATTCCATTTTTCACATTTACCAATTATACTCATGTAATTCTTTGCAGGATATCTTATTCAACGCTAAAACTCAATGTATAAAAAAGTTTGTACTTCACACGAATTATCCAGGACATTATAATTTTAATATGTATCACCGCTGCGAGTTTTCTCTGACTCTGCCTCCTGAAAATAATTCCACGGAATCGGGAAAATTGATTGACGTTTCCCCATCTCCTGTTACAGTAGGGTTTTTAGTAGTTATTCATATATTTGATATACATATTTTTACTATGTGTTAACGATACTAATGAATTAATTAATTTCATCTCATAGATCACTGCCTATACAAAATGGGATAGAGTGAGCGAGCAATTGAAAGCAAGTGCGCGACCAGTAGTTCTAAATCGAGCGTCTTCAACAAACACAACTAACCCATTCGGCTGTACGTTTTGTTATGGCATACGGGACGCGATTGTTGAAGTTATGGCGAATCAACATATCGCAAGTGTAACTTTATATAGAACTGCGTGACGTTGATAATTCATACTATGTAAAGCATTACGTAGCGTGATTCGTGACGAACAGTCGAGGACAAGAAATTACTTTAGCTAACTTAGGAGATCTTAAGTTTGCTGATTAAAAACGATGGGATGTGAAGATCGAGGTAGAACACTCTATCAGGAAGCTTTTTTAATATGTAATCAATTATTTTAGAATACAAGGATGATAAATAAGTGTTACGTAAAGTGTGAATATTAAGACGATTAAACGATGACCACATAAGATATGTATAAAAATTCAGGAGCAAAAAATACATGGAAAGTAAAAAAAATATATCATTGTGAGGACTTGTGTGATTACATACATACATATATGTATATTACTTATTATTTCTCTTTAAGCCTTGTCTCGCAGCTATGGATACTTGGATCAAATTCAAGTTGAGTTTATCTTAACAAAGTTCGGTAGTTATCCTTTTTTTAACGTCTTAATTTTTCACATTAATCTTTACGCAACGTTAGAACTAGCTGTAAGACATACAGCAATCATTGTAACGCAACAATACGCTGCTCTATTCTTAAGAATACTGTCTTTTTTTCTACATGTAGAATTACAAAAGGCATAATTTATATTCTATAAGTTAACATATCTGTACAAATAATAGTATGTAAGTTCAATAATTATAAGAAATATGCGAAAGAAAATTATGATATTAAAACTTTAGTAGACTCTGAAGGTTTTTCGACAAGACACTGGCCGATATTCATAGTTCGCTCTTATCATACAAGATCGTCTTAAATATTTTGAGGCATTAATAAGGTTCTGTGATTGGTTTTGTCATCTTAAGACTGTACTTAAGACAATCTTAAATATAAGAAACTACTATAAATACCGGCCATTATAGTGGCTTTTCGTACACAATAAACGTACAATAAAAACCACTATATAATGATTATTAGTAACGAAGATTAAATAGAAGAATAAAATTAAAAATCTTATACATTTCAATAAAACTTTTATTTAGTTTTAACGATATTAAAACTAAATAATTGATATTTTTCATTTTAATTCCTTTATGTCTTCTTGTCTTATTATTTTTGTTAAGAAAAACATTGACTCTATCATTCAAAGAATCTGTAGCTGGAAGAAAGGCGATATTATTTTAAGACATGTTAAATTTTTATTAGTCTTATAATTAAGAAATTGATATATATTGTCAATATATATTATTATATTATGAAAAAAGATGGAAATACTAATAATTTCATCTAACAATAATATCTAGTTACTTTTATTTGGGACATTACAGCGTCTAATTTAAATTTATCATCTTTTGCCATAATTATACAGTTAATAACAATTAATAAGACAGACAAATTGTAATGGAAATTATTAGTATTCGCAAAAAGTATTTTAACTGGACAATTCTGGAAAGCAGAAAAAAAACGTCGGAAAATATTATAAATTTTTATAGGCGATATAATCTTTTTAATCAATTATAAGGACTGTTATTAATAATCTTGACATATAATATTATCCTTTAGATGAAGTAAGAAAGTAAATGGACTCTTTCAAATTTCGTATAAATGGTAAATTTTTTAACATGGGTGTGAAGAAAAAAAAAATGCGTGAAATTGGCGGTGGAAACCAAAATTATGTATACTCTGATTATCGTGTTCTCATTATAAGATTATGGATTCTCACCCAGCACAAATGTCGTCTGAGTGAAAAAAATTAGAAGTTACAACATTGTGTAACATAATAAAAATATTTGTTGTATCCACGTGGATTTATTAATTTTTCCCTAAAATTTTGTTATTAATAATAAAAATATAATTTTATACCTTGTCCTAAAGTTCGCGACTCAAAATACTAGAAAGTTCTCAAGTAAGTGAAAAAGTTATTCGTAATTTTTATTCTAAGCGGAAATTTTCTAGGTAATGAGGATTAAAAAAATGACTAATTACAGTCTACACTTAAACGATTGCTTGTCCATGGTTATAATACGACATTACTAACACTCGTAAATGACTTTCATCTGCGAGTTTAATGAACGCATTAAAATGCGCTCATTGAAACTATCGTATACGCATAGACAAGTAGTAATTTTGTAGTTAGTCATTTTTTTTTCTTATTTAAAAAATTACTAACAAGTTTACAAACAATAACTTTTTTGTTTAATTTTTTCAAAACTTTCTTATAATATTTTGAGTCTTCTGTATATATTATAATTTTTATTATATCCACAATAAATAAATTATTATGTGGTATAATTATCGCGTGTGTGTGTGTGTGTGTGTGTGTACATATATATAATGTATTATATATTAGGTTATCCGGAAAGTTCGTGCCGATGTTGAAAGAAAATTGAAATGCAAAAAATTTTAATTTAATAAATGTATACTAAAATTTAAATTTTAGTCGGCACAAACTTTCCGAACAACCCAATAATATATAAATTATTATATAATATATAAATAATTTTAATCAAGAAAATGCAGAAGAATAAGATATAAATATTCATTTGTGAGTT